AGGTTTGGCTTGGGGGCACGGGGGTAGGGCTGTGCACACCCGAGCACATCAGGGGAGCAGGGTCCCCTAGCCAGCAGTAGGGTCGCCCTCCCCACCGTCTCCCCAGCACCCCTTACCACCATCCCGGGGCTCCGTCAGCACCACGCGGCCATAGGTCCCGCTGCCCAGCTCCTCCAGTACGGCGTAATGCTCCTCCAACTCCCGCTGTGGCACCTCCCGGCCCGTCTGCACCATCAGCCGCTCCAGGAACTCCTCATTGTCCTCCCCGTCCTCATCTGACTCCTCCATGGGTCCTGGGGAGAGCCAAGACCCCTGCGTTGCTGCACAGCCCCATCGGCCCTGGCCCCTTCAATGGGGAGACGGTGGCAGCGCTGGACTCATGGCCTCAGGGCAAACGGCCGGGACAGCCCAGTGCAGCCCAGTCCACCCTGGTCTAGTCCAGTTTAGCCCAGCTCAGCCTAGTGGAGCCCAGACCAACCTGCTCTGAAGAATCCCAGTCTAGTCCAGTTCAATTCAGTCCAGTCCAACGCAGCTAAACCCAATCCAGTCTATCCCTGCCCAGTCTAGTGAAGCCCAGAGAAGCCTGGTCCCATTTTCTCCAGTTCAACCCAACCCATTCTAGGTCAGTCCAGTCCAGCCCAATCCAGCACAGTCAAGCCCAGCACATCCCAGCTCAACCCAGTACAGACCAGTCCCACCCCAGGGGCTTTCCCCACAGTGTCCCTGGGTGGAATCAAGCCCTGCCTGGGATCAAGCTCTGCCCCTCTGCCCCAGGTGCTGTGTAGACATGGGGGTCCTGGCTGATGGGAAGGTGCACCCCCATGCCAAGAGGTGATGGGGACCGAAAAACGCCACTGTCCAATGGGGCTGAGCATCCCTGATGGGAGCCGGTGGGGTCCGGGACACTCTCTCCGTTGATCCCCCATGTCCTCATGTATGAGGGACTGTCAGCCCCCCATCATACCCTGGAGGAGAGGCAGTAAGCCCTATAACATCCCAGAGAAGGGATGGGAAGCTCCACATCATACCCCACATCACCCCACCGCAGCAGTCAGGGCTCCCTCTGTCCACCCTACATCCCTCCCATTGCAAGAAGTCAGGGATCCCCACATCCCCCCATCACAGCGAGTCAGGTATGACTCCCTGCTCCTCCATCCCCAGCCCTGAAGCAGGACCCCTGACCCTTCTCCCATCCCACCACCTGCAGCCACCTGTGCCAGCACAGCCACAGTGAGATCTCCACCACCACCAGCTCCTCCAGGTGGGCGGGACTGGGACAACCAGCCTGGCCCCACACACACGCACACCCGCTGCCGTGGGGCTGAGCCAAGAGGGCCATGCAAGCAAGCCAGAAGCAGAAGGCAGGGTCGAGTGTCCCTCGGGGTTGCATGGGGACAGCCAAGCAGCCCAGGAGTAGTGCGTGCCTCACCTGCGTCCCCCACCGTGTGTCCCAGCAGGGTCGGGTGCTCCCAGGGCACGGCTGGGTGCCCCCAGCCCCACGGCTGCCCCCGGCACTGGGAGCTGTGACTCAGACTTTCCTGCCCGCTCCCATGCCACCGGCCCGCGCTAATCTCTGCCGCTCGCGCGCAGGGAACATGTGTCAGCCCCAACGCGTGCCGAGGGCCAAAGATAGGCAGGAGGCAGGACAGGCAGGGCATTTCATGGGGGGACAGACGGACAGGATGGAGCTGGGGACAGGGGGCTGAGCCATGTTGTGCCCGGTGGGCTCAGTGCACCCAGTGCAGGGTGGTGAAGCGGAGCGCAGGCCTCTCGGCTGTCCCTCAGTGTGCTGCTCTGCACTGTCTGTCTGTCTGTCTGTCCATGTGCTGCTTGTCCACTCAGAGCCAGGGCCTCTCCCCAGCACCACACTCTGTCCATCCATTCCAGCAAGCTGTCCTCCGCACTGTCTGTCTGTCTGTCCATCCATCCATCCATCCATCCGTCCATCCATCCATCCATCCACTGCACACAGCACTTGGTCCATCTGTCCCCACATGCCTTGCTGCTTATCTTCGCTGTCCCTGCCTGTGCTGTCTGTGTGTCCCCACATGCCGTGCATCATTCGCTCTGTCTGTCCATGTCCATAGTCCTCTGTGACACCGGTCCCATGCCACCTCTGTTTGTCCCCCTGTGCAATGTTCCATCCTGGCCATCTGTCCTTCCTCACAGTGCTGCCTCTCCATCAGACCAATATGCTCTGCTCCACCAAGCCATGCTCCTTGACATCTGTCTGTCCCCAAGTACAAATCCACGCCTGCCCCCCACGACCAACCCATCCTCTCTGTCTGTCCCCATGCGATGCCATCACAATGTCATCCCACAACGCAACCCTAACCATGTCATGTCACAGCCCAGCAATGCCACGACACAACCAAGCAATGCCATGACACAGCTCAGTCATGCCACGACACCGCCTGGTCATGCCAAGCCACAGCCCAGCAATGCCATGACACAGTTCAGCCATGTCACGACACAGCCCGGTCATGCCATGACACAGTCCAGCAATGCCACGACATAGCCTGGTCATGCCCCAACACAGCCCAGCCACGCCATGACAGAGCTCAGCCATGCCATGACGCAGCCCAGCAATGCCATGACACAGCTCAGTCATACCATAACCACACGCCACCCACCCCCCCCCCTCCCTATTGCACTAGCCCGACAGGCC